TAACGAGTTTAAAAGTCCGGGTCACGAATTAAAATCGTCATTATGAATTGTATAATTCGTTATCACAGGTTGAATCACAAGTTTTATTCTGCAGGCACGAACGACATCAAGACTTTTTATCTGTTTAGGAGATCATTCTTTACCAGTTCTGATTTATAACGAAACAAAGTTGCAGAAAACGACCATATCACGTAGTAGATGCACAAAGCATTTATCATACTGTATATGTATACTTCTCCCATGAGTTTCTGTGAATAAAACACTTCTTGTTTGTTTTACCATTCGTCCGCTTTGATGCATGTTTTTGATAAGACACAGAACGCGTTAGGCTGTCAAATATGTGATATAGATAAAATTTTAATTTGTGGCTGCTTAAAATATTCATTATCGAAACTGTTGATTTATCGAAGAGTATAAGTATAAAACTATCTTACGAAGTAGTACAATAAATAAATCTTCAATTATGAAATTTTGTGCGACTTTAGTAGCATAGGAGGGAAATATTTAAACGATACAGATAAATAGGGTTGACGCCTTCAAACATGTTTAACCCGGCCACATTTCGAATGTGCCTGTCCCAAGTCATGATCATATAGTTCAGTGGTTGTCGTTTGTTGCTGAATATTATTTTTGTATTTTGTTTTGTACAAAAATTAGGCTGTTGGTTTTCTCGTATGAATTGCTTTATAGTTGTCATTTCGGGGCTTTAAGGCTTGGAATGCGGTATGGTTTTTGCTCATTGTTTAAGGCCATACCGTGACCTATAGTTGTTACCTACCTTGGCAATCATACCACACCTTCTTTTTTATATGAACATTTATTCGTCAGACACGAAACAACTTTCCCTAGATTCTTATTAGTCGCAAAACTACAGAGTTTTCAACCTCATCTCTATAACAGAAATATTGTATATGAAAGTGTATTTCCCAGTCGCTTTTATCAATTAAGTACTTACCCATTTCAAAACTCTAAAGTTAACTTCTATGTTCGTTTTGAAACATATTCTGCAAATTTTGGACAGAAAGGTCAAAACATATGGTGCTATAATAACAAAATACAATGCCCAGATCCAATTCTCGTCAAAACCGGTTTTATTTGCATGCCTAGAACGAGTTGTAGCATTACTCAAACGGTAACCGGAGCAGTTGGGTTTCAACAAACCACCAAATGTATTCAAGAGAGTTGATGTCGTGTTGAATTCAGATGGTGGACCAATGTGCCAAATAAGTAAATGAAGGGTTATTCTTGCTACATATCCACTGCCTAATACAATTACAACCAGGAAACTTGCAAAGAGTAGTTTCAAACATTTTTCTGCAGAACATAATGGTAAATGTTCATCTTCTTGATCTTTTCCTGACCTACAAATTCAATCAACTAAATGTTATAAAATTATAAAACCAATAGTATCTGATGAAACGAATACAAGATAAATGAAATAAACGAAGAATGGCACGGAAATAGTTAAAAATAGATATTTCTGTAGATCAGAAGCAATTTGGCAATGGGGTAGTACAATACTTACACAGAAAATGCATCATCTTTTTCACAATGTTTATGATAAAACGTGAATGACAAGATTTGTCTGTAAAAAATGTGTAGCGTTAATACCAAATGAAATGACGAATTTTGGAAGTCATGCAAACCTACCAATATGATAAAGTTCTGCGTTTTCGTTGACTTACATGCATATAATTTAAACCTTCACCTCATGTACGCACATGTATGATTTTAAACCGATTACATTTAAATCAAGATAACTGGATAAGTGACAAACGAATGAGCGAAAGTTATATAATTTAAGAACTCACTTGTAATGACATTAAAGTAGAACCTTCGAAATATTTTACAAAAAGAGATACCGGTATATTTTGCCTTTTTCAATATATACTTCCAACTTCTATGCCATTTGATCTCTGGTGGAGAGTTGTCTCATTGGCAATTATAACACATCTTATTCTATATCTCAATATGAGATAAACCCAATATAATGTAACATTGAACGTTAATATTAAACAATTTTACAGGTTGACTTTTTTCATATCAAAAGACTTTCTTGAAATCATCAAATACAAACCCTTAGTATTTAGAACTTATTTCCCATCTCAACAATTTTGTGTTTTTTATTTATTATTGACATTTTGTTTTTGATCATCTCTTTTTCAGGGGTCAATCAAACGAATAAGATCATTTGTGTAAAAAAATATAACAAAAATATCGAACTCTTAGGCAAAATCAAAAAGGGGAGGTCCATAAAACTGATTAAACCCATAGTTGGACTTTATCAACCAACGGAACGAAAGGAACACAACTGTCCTATTCCTGCTTTGCACAGGCATTTTCCAAAAAATGGTGGGTTAAACCTGGTTTTCTAGCAAGCTATGTGTAATTTATTGTTGCATTCAGAAAATAATCTTTTGCCTTTATTTCAAAATAACAATTCATATATAAAACAGATTACGATACTACTTTTTTGAGAGATTTTTGTAAAATACCAAGACTACAGCAGGTCAGTAACTTACATATAAAACTTAAACTAGATTTTGTAAGGTGATATATTGCATGAATGACCTAGTGTTACTAAGGTTGTCCTATGAGATATTTTTTTTTGCTGGTGATTTAGTCTTAATTGGTGTTTATAGGTCCTGATTCGGGGCTGATTTGATTTTATAAAATTTATCGGAACCATGTTACAACAAAAAAAACGTTTTAAGGTTCATTTCACAAATATCCTGTACGTTACTCTTAAATATAAAAACAATATGGTATGATTGCAAATGAGACAATTATCCACAAGAGAACAATGGACGAGGATGCAAACAACTGTAGTGCTTTTTTTTTTGGCTTTTAATATGATCAAAACCTAAACCGTAATATTGTAGCTACAAAAGGTTCCCTGCATGGAAAATGTGAAACAATCCAAATAAGAAACGCAACTGCCAGAGTCATGCTTAAAACACCAACAAAAAGTAAATCAGGCATATAAAATAAAGAGATATGATATGATTGCCGATGAAACAACTCTCCACCATAAACATAATGAAAGATACATCACAACGTTTGTGTACTTTAAAGTTCATGCAATTTGATTCCACAAGTTAGAAACACGTCTCATACTCAGCTCATATGTCAAAATTCTGTGCGACTGTCATACAAGTGAGCGGTTTAGCTAGCTAAAAAACCTTGTTTGATCCACCATTTTATAATAAGGAAATGCCTGTACAAAGTCAGGAATATGACAGTTGTTTCCATTCGTTTGATATGTTTGAGCTTTTGATTTTGCCATTTGATAAAGGACTTTCTGTTTTGAATTTTCCTTGGAGTTCGGTATTTTTGTTATTTTACATTTTGCTCAATACATGATATCATGTGCCGATCAAAATACAACTGACAATATAATTGTAATTTTTAAGTCATGCATGTGGCCATTTTTATTCAATTTAAAACATGGCTTTGTCTACAAAGCTAAAGAATATTGTCATATTAGAACATACATTTTTTGTACTTTCATTATAATTTGGCATCGTAAAATCTTATACCACGAAAAAGTCTAGCGAGACACAGATCAAAGCACAGAATAGCAAAGATTCAATGTCGTTTAGAATGCCACTTTTAACTACATGTACGTGAATATCTTTAAAAAGGAGTTTTATAAAGATTTCACGTTGATGAAAATTACAATTTAAAAATCATTAATCAATTTTAATTTTACAAGTTTCCATATTGAAATTAAAATGTTGCCGTTTTTAGTAATATGCACCCTAACATCGAAAAATACTCGAAATCGGTTATCATTTGGAATCACAGTATATTTGTTATCTTTGACGCCATTTGTGATAGTTTCCGAGTAAGGACACATAATGTGTACCATTCAATTTGCTCGAAGATTATTAGAAATGAGATACTTGTAGGTTTTAATGATTTTTGACCATTAACTATTTCACAACCAAATTTAAACACTACAGACGGGATATTGTTTTATGGTACTCTTGTTTACATTCATACATCAATCCAATATTTTAAATGTACTTCTAAACGCCTTAAAAGTGTTACTTATCGAACACTGACGATTAAATTTGGGTGGGGAAAATACGAATTAGGCTTGCTTCTTTACTAAAATTCATAAGATATATGGCTAAGCTGCTCCTCACTAACTGCAGGATGTACAGTTATTAATATCTGTTATAATAGAATGATTATGTGGTCCGAATTCGGCAGTTAACTGATTCCAGAAACATTTTTGTTTATCTTTTTTTCCCTTCAAGATGTCTAAAACTGAGCGGTTTGTGTTACACATACGAAAGTTGTATATAAAACCAGTTCGTAATTGCTAGTTTTTGATTAAAACAAAAGCTAAACATGTCACCACTTCTGTTGATTTGCTATTATTCAAGAAGCGTAAACTCTTCAGACTTATCTTTGACAATTGATATATCGGTGTCAGTTCATTTAATTAACTTCTACCTCAATTCGGTGATTTGGGTAAAAAAGATCATACATTTGAAAAGAAGTAAACTTTTTAATCAAACATATGATTTGTAGTCATTGTTTAATGTTATTGTATGATAGTTTAATGTTATTGTATGATAGTTTAATGTTATTGTATGATAGTTTAATGTTATTGTATGATAGTTTGAGTTCTCAAATTTTTAAAATTCAACATCAACAGCATTATGATATATATACATATTATTTATATTAAACAAATCAATTTGTCTATAAAAGAGAGGCGAAAGATACAAAAGGGACATTCAAACTTATGAGTCGAAAATAAATTGACAACGTTTAACAAAGAAAAAAAGACAAACAGACAAACAACAGTACACAATACACAACATAAAAAAACTGACCCTGTTCCACATGTGGCACCCGTCGATAATTTGTCAATAATTCTAAATGAAAACTATGAAATTTCTGATCCTGTCTTCAAATTCTTCATATGTAATGGAATCAAATAGATCATAAAACAAATTTTTTGGCGCGAATGTTTCTAGACTTACTTTGGTATTTCTTTGTTATTGCTATTTGATGATCCCAAACTTAGATTTGAAATTTTCGAAGCATTCAATGATGATCTAGAACTAGTGTGACCTTCTTCAATTGACTTGGACGTATTCTGTTTTGCATCCATTCTGAACATAAATCTGAAGACAGAATATATTTATATCAGTTTAATTATAATAGTATTTCATATAGATACATTCGAACTGAAAGAAATGGATTTAGGACTTGCATATTAAAGAAAACATCATTATATAACAATATACTCAATACACTACTTAACAATTACAAATCTATGAAAAAGTACTTCGAGATACAGCAACGGAACATCATTTAAATTTATTTAATGTTATTCTATTCCGCAGGTAAGAGTGACGAAACCTGAGATGCAATGTAATATACTTCTATAAAATGAAATAAACACAGGATAAAATTTATAAACAATATGATTATTGTTAAGTTGAACAATCAAAGCCCGGAATGTGTAGCGGCATGAAAAGTTGGGTACAGTGTTCTAATGACTATGTATGATTTTTCTGACCAGTCAACACTTAAAGGGTATATTTGTCGGAACTTCCTGCTTTTATTTAATGATATGTTCATAGTAATTGAAGATATTCATTGGGATATTATTATAAACTGCATAGACAGCTCTTCAGATTTAGTCTAAGTGTTTAGACTTTCAAATTATTTTTGTCTTCGAAAAAAAAAGACATTAATTTTCGAAATGCGTAACTTGTAAAGGAAAATGTGTACTTTAAGAATATATAAGTATATATATAAGTAAGGATAAAGTCTCCTGTTATCATGTTATCAAATTAAAGTTACATTCCAATTAGTAAATTATATGATCAAATCAAACTTCTGGTACATGAAATTCACATTCTATTAAACATGGTTGAGGCAAACCGATTATCTAAATGATTATAACTGAATGCAATGCACCTAGTTGTCTGAGATATGTCGAGATATGTCGTAACGAATGTGAAATTATATAAAAACAAATCCTGATAAAGAAGGTTTAAATCAATTTTAGTTAACTGTAAACGACAAGATTGCATTTAAATTTGCTGACATGCAATTATAATATCGATTTAAAAAAAAATAAAACAATTTGACACTTTTTGCACTTCAAATGCAAAATGTATGATTTTCACTCGAAGATTGTCAATATCACACTGCATAAATTGACAAATGACTAAGAAGTTTATAGCCAAATTGATTGTTTATTAAAAACTAAACGATTCCCCCCTGAAGCTTCTAACACTATAGATCTTATTAAATGATATGATAAAATAAGCCCTATTACGGATTAATCAGCATGTGCAATACCTGTTGATATTGATACAAAAAATAACCGTATTGGCCCATGTGCTGATACTGAATATCCTTTTCCTGTTTTAAGCCTCATTAAACTTTTGACGTATTTCTATGCATAAGCATTTTCTATATCATATTTAAGACTTAAAATTACATGGAAGAGTTTGCATTTTGTTCCATGTTTTGTTGGGATTCGAAGCGGCGATATTCCGCATCCATTCCGAGTATAATGTTCGAATACTTGTCACATTTGCACTGACCAAAAACAACAGAATGTCAACGACAAGAAAATTAAAGATCTGATTTCTTCATTAAATAATTAGATTGGAAATCTAAAGCCTCATCAATATTGACAAAAAGTGCATCGTGACTGAGAAAAGGTGCATGATCTTCATAAAATGGTAAACTGGATAAAGGACGCACAACGTAAAATACTGGCAAAATTATTTTCATCCCTTTTAGCTTTCATTAAACGTTCTGTTTTAAAAGAAAAATAATGATAAGTCACCAACTATGTTTTTAACTATATACAATCAACGGTCATATACTGGAATCAGTGAAATCGAATCCATACCTAAGAGTAGAACTAACCAACAAGATGTCGTGTGACAAACAAATGCAGAAAGTTGTAACCAAGGGAAATAGAGCAATTTCATTTATCAGGCGTAACTTGGACACTTGCCCAGAAACGGAAAGAATCACGCTTACTTGCACTTATAGGGCCCCCTATCTCCAAATGCACATAGATAAATTAGAGATGGCACAACTCCGTGCTGAAAGCTTCATTAAAAAGTTAATTTTCAAGAGAAGCGGGTACAGTAACATCAATTTTAGAAAAGTTAGAACTACTACTACTATCAGCAACAAGGAGAATATCCCGGATTACTCAACAACTCTACTGCATGTATATAAAGCAACAACAATATAGCAATAAGCATTCTACCATATATCATCAAACCTACCAGAACATCAAGAAATTACCATCCGGACAGTTATATTCAACTGCAGACACATAAAGACGTAAACAAAAACTGCTTTTGCCAATGCATGATCAGGGAATTGAACTTACTACCTATCAATATGTTACATGTTCAGTGCAGTTAGGTTAAAACACGCGTCGATTAATTAATTTGGCAGCGCTGCCATCTACTGAAAAGATTTTTAAAATACATAGCAGCACCAGGAAGGCCTTAATTTGATTCTAAAATTTAATATTTTTGATATCATAAGTAAACAATCATGCTTACTTGCACATCCTCGGCTTTCAAATATTCGGCTTTGAGCATTCCTGATGAAATTAATTCCAGAAAAGGGTCTCGTACGCATTAAATTATTAACGTGTTGTTTTCACTTTTTAAACACTAATTTTACAAACTAAATTATGCATATATGATTTAACGAGAAAGGTTTTCTGTCTACTGTTCGTTGCAGACAATGTTTTAAGCTTGAGAGTATAATATTTTGCCAGTTTTGAGCCACATTGCCTGTTCAAATGCATTTAAAACGGATTGTCTACACCCTTCGACCAAAACGATGTTTTGGGGTGAAATACATGAATTTTTGTACACATTACAAACCAATAGGTATGCCCAATAATGTAACCAATGTCACCTGAAGCAAAACCTACCAAGATTTAACCATTTGTCACAATTATTTGTTTCGTCATAAGAAATATGACGTGTTATTTTCGTAGTTTAAAGCTGCAACAGAAATATTTCCTAATCGAACAAAATTTGCTTTTAGAGCAGTTTTAAAACTGTGTTAGTGTTTCAATGAAGATAAGCATGTGTTGACTACGGTGCCTGAATTTAATTTAAACTACCTGATCATTGATGTTGGTCCTTTTATCTCTCAATGTATCACCAGCTCAATTGATAATTCTTTAAGTTAACATGATCATTTTTCATATGGTCATTTTCCAAAACTTTTCTGTTCATACTTTTTCACATTCAATCAAAAACTGATGGTTTCTACCCCCAGGCACATATTGCATTAGTCGTATTTGGCACAACTTTTCGAACTTTTTCTTACTTCCAATACTTTTCAACTTCGTGACTAATTTGGACTTCTAACTTTTTATATTCAAGAACCATTCATGAGTTTTATGTAAAAGTCAAGAGCGTATGGTGTACCCTTTTTTGAGTGTTTATAACCACTGGGCCTATATCAGTGATGTGCTCATTTTCTGTATTTTGTTGTTGTTTGTATCTTGTTTTAAACTATTCCAAACACCAATGTTTTTCTACTCTTCTTGCAATAATCTCTTTTATTCGCGCGCCACTGATGAATCTTATGTAGTCAAAGCGTGTGTAATAAATTAAAAGTCTTGTATCGTTAATGAGTTTTTATACTAAAATGATCATTTACATTAGTCACAAAACAAGATGGTTTAATCGAATACATTGTAAATATTAATTCGAATAATGAAAGACTACGTTCTGGTATCATAAAAATAAAAATAAGTGTGCAATTACGTTCTGAGGCTGCCAACTCATCTTTTACTGTGTGAATTTTTAATTTCCTAAATAAAGGAACCAACACTGGACGCATCTATTCTAAAATGAATGTCATAACTACATTTAGATTGAAAAAAACCAGTCCCTTGCAAAAAAAAGTTTAGAAAATATGAATACACTACTTAATGAAGCTAGTGCATTGGTGTTTTCTTGTCTTTTTTTTTTTTTGCGGGGGAGGGGGGTCGGGATGGGGGTGGGGATAGTAAAATGATGTATTGAATTAATCTCCACGTTTTACACAATATTTTTGACGTTTCAGAGAATCTGTTGCATTGAAATTTGAAATCAGTACCGTTTATGTTATTATTACCACTAGTTCAATATCTTTGATGGTGGACTGTTTGTCTTTGAGGGTATCCACCAGCCAAGTAGCCAGTTTGCTGTTTTAAAATTTCGATATTATTTAAGAATAACTAATGTATCTCACTCAGGCATAGCTCTGATTGGTTTTCCGAGTTTGTCTTTACTTTTGGTCCTTTTTGGTTTTATCAGCTCTTCAACGTTTGCATTAAGTTATGGCATGAGCACCACAGTGGCACTGAAGATACATTAATTGTCAAAATGCGCATCTAGTGCAAAACAATTGCTACCGTTAATGTTATTAGGATAATTATTGGTGTGATTTTGTGAAATCACAAGCTGATGCAAGCCATATTTTAATAGCTCCATATTACCAATTGACTTTTCATAGATAAGAGAATTTATATGCATCTGCCTGCAAAAAATTTATCAACAACAGTTTGAATTTGATTTGTAAACAGTGTACATTGATAAAGACAACTAACAAGAATTATCATTTAAAAATCTTACAATACCTTCAGCAGCCTTTTTTTCATGGACTATACGGCTGTATAGTCCTTTTAAAAGAATGATATGTAAGCTACAGGTATACCTGTAATTATGATAAAAAAAAAGCAGACTTTGCTAAAACGTGATGGGAAGCGACACAACTTAAAAATGCAGTTCGTCTCCTGTCATGTAGATTGAATTATTCGTATGTATTACATAATTTTTTCGTCTATCCAAAAAGAGTTTATGAATGATATGTTAATTTTCTTTTATGATACATAGCAATGTCAACAAATGCATTTGTTTAAGTTGGATTATTTTTATGAGAATGTTCAGTTATGATGTACGATAATGTTATCTTATGATTCGATGAAAACAATGACTTTTTTATATAATGATTTAATCCCATGACATGTATAAGCAGACTTGTCATCAGGATCGATCTTTATCAGATTTTTTTTTTTTCTCGTATGGGGAGAGCTATTCTCAGGACAGGACCTATAAG